ACTGCCGACACAGCACCCACCGGAGGGTGAATTGGTGCCCACCAGCCTCGAACCATCTCTAGACTCAAATCGATCACAATGCGATAAGTTCCGTGGAGAGATTGCATCCAGAACTGTCGCTCGATTTGTTGCAGGTATGTGGACACCGACCATGCAATTGTATTTGTTGACTTGTGGATGCGTTTTTGCGCACGCCCACGACGAGGCTGTGAGCGCATTGAGACCAGGCGACTGACGAAGTCAACTGTTCTGAATGCCTTTCAAAGTACGCTGACACGCGAGTCGTGTAACCGCACACTGGATACGATTTAAGCTCACTGGTCTCATATTCACCAGACATTACTAGCAACAGTAAAATCACCTTGTGTTTAGTAAAATCGCCAACATGGATATTCGGTCTCTTCGCAGTCTCTGGAACTTATCGATGCTCTCCGGCATTTTCCGGCTGGAAGCGAAAATAATGAGACACGCAGAAACTCCGGGCTAAACTCCGTGCTATCCTGAAGAGAGACCGCGAATCCTGGTGGCCTCCTCGTGTTTCTGAGATGAAAATAGCTGCTGTCCCTGGTAACAATCGTAAGTTATTCCGGCTGATACTGAAAACGGGCTGCAGGAGAACCGATGTTATTGAAAATGTACGTGACGAGAGCGGACAGCCTATCCACAACTTGTCGAAACGCTAGGAGTGCTTGGCTGAACACGGTAAAAGGCAAGTAAATAGTCTGGAATTGTCAGAGTTCTCGCCGGCCACTGATCGCCCTGCTCCGTGGGCTGTCCCTCTGGAGGAGTCCTCTCGCTCGGAAGTCGAACGTAGAATCGGAATGTTGAAGTTAAATAAAGCCGTGGGAGCAGATTACCTGCCTGCAGCCTTCTTCGAATTAGGGGACCGTGTTCTTGTGGATAATTTACACCAGTTACTAGTGAAACTGGGAGCAACCAACTGTACCTACCGACTGGAGCCGCTCCGTCATAGTCCCAATTTTCAAGGGAGACTCACGATCGGAATGCAGCAATAATAGAATAATCAGTCTGATCTTCATCAACAGCAAATTGCTTGCCTCTGTCATCTTCGCAGTCTGACTGGCACTCATGAAAGCCAGGTTCGTGATGTGCAAGCCGGGTTTCGTCCAAGTTGTGGGTGCACTGACCACAGATTCAATTTGTGTTAGTTGTTGGTGCACCATCACATATATTGGCGGTCCACCGTTCTCGTGTTGTTCGATAGCAAATGTGCATTCGATTCGGTGAATGGATGTGCCCTTTGTGACTGTCTGCTAAGGAATAGTGTTTCCGAGATAAATGTAAGTATTATCAGCAGACCGTATGCGCGTATTCCGGCAGAGTGAGGGCTAACAGCAAGCTGTCGTCGCCGTTCAATATTTCCAGCGGTGTGAGACAAGCATACCCCTTGTCACCTTTCTTCTTCAACTTCGCTATTGACAAAGTAATGGAAATCACCTTCACAATACATGACATAGACTGTGTGGATCTGCTCCCAGGAGAACAACTTATTGACGTGTAGTAGACGATATTGCCCACGTCTGTTACTGCTCCCAGACGTGCGGAGCTGCATTAGACAGATTAGCACTGACTGTCCTTCACTTCGGGCTACGCTTGGAAGAGAAGCGTTATTCCAAGATTGGCATGGACCGCCTCATACCCTGACACTTGATGCGGAGCAGCTATAAGTCCTACAAAAATTAATTACCTGGAAAGTTTTACCAGGGTCCGTGGGATTGAAGATGAGATCACCAGCTCTATAGCAAAACCTTGAGACGCTTTTACTAATCTTCGCTACTTCTGGCGTTGGCGCGACATTGCTCTCGCCCTGCAGGTTGGAGTGCACAATGAAACGGTACGGTTTATCCTACCGTATGGTTGTGAAACCTGGCTCCTTAGATCAGCCAACATAAAGAGGCTAGTTACATTCGCCAGCCGGTGCCTTAGCAATTCAGCTCACGTCTAATGGGACCAACGTGTGAGCAACGGGCGTGTTCGACTCCTTCTTTGCAACACAGGAAAAGGAGATGAATCGCTCAGCAGCGTTATTTGCCGCACCAGGCTCCGATGACTCGGCCCCGTGGTACGCATGCCAGCCCGCCGGCTTCCACGATGTGCGCTGTTTGTACGCCGCGGGGGTGTGGATGGAAGAAGAGGAGGGGTGGCCAAGCGATAACTTGGTCGAGAGGAATGATGGCCCGCACTTCAAATTTGGCCTCAGTTGAAGCGTCTCGGCTCCCTGGATTGCGTCCGAAAGATGCTGAACGCGTTTGGCTTGATGCACTTGCTGATATGGTTAGGAGCCGACGTCAATGGCGTTCGTACAGTGAGTTTCTTTGTCCCACCACATCCATCTTACCCTGCTCCTCCAACCACGATCTCACTACTTAACCTTATATCCTTTTGCATGGTAATTTTTTGTTGTTACATAATAGCTGGCTAGTAGCTTACCGGAAAGATAGTCTTCCCGTGCCGGTAACTCAGCTGGCATGTATCTGTCGCACATTTTCTTTTTATGTATTACGGCACAGTAGCTGACGTGTTTTCAACTTTAGCTACGTATATACTTATGGCTACTTGCTAATAAACAGTAGTTGCACAGATTGCTAATAACACTACGGATTAGTTGGCCACTCAATCCTGGGGGACTGATGAGTAAGCATGCTATCCGGTCATCTGAACAACGATGCGGTTGTCAGAGATGGGCTGCGCTACATCACAATCGCTCATAGCTACTACCCTCCTTCTTCAGGATCGTTGATCTTAACGATTTTATATTTTGGTCACGACTACAATCCTCACTAAGAAAACGGAAACCGTTTTATTTTCGCACCCACTCCCGACTGTATTGTCCTATTCAGATACAATATTTGGCTTTGTGTGCTTTCTCCCGCAGGGTTTCCTCTTTCTTGTAACTCCCTCAGTTCAGAAATCTTGCCGCGTACCCATATCAACACATGGTAATCAGTAGCAGATCTTTATCCGCATGTGCTCTTTATCGATGCAATGCGGTCCACTCCGGCGTCCGCGGTGACCTAGTTGACTTACACACAGCCGGTCTCGACTGTCACCGCTATTTCAGCATTCTGTACTGTCATGCTTCTTTCTTAGGCTGCGCTGTTATCAATTCTACTGGCGAAGCGGAGGTATGTGCCGCAGTTAAACGAGGTGCAGGAATTGTTTACCTTAATTGATGCATCCACTTTGCTCTTGCGACTTGCGTTCGATATTCGCCGTTCTAGTTCATCAAGACAATTGGGTTTGGTTTTATAAACTCTCTTTCACTATCCCATAAGAAGAAATCCAAGGGTTTCAAAGCAAATGACGGTGCAGACCACTTTAGTAGAGCTTCAGCACCGATCCAACAGGGACCGAAGGTCTCGTTTAGATAATCACGTGCCGTTCGCACATAAGGTGCTGGTGCCTCAGCTTATTGCCAAGAAAGGGTAATCTGTAACCCTTCGGCCTCCTGCTGTGGAATAACGTAGGTCTGCAAGATTTCCTTGTACGAAGGTTTCAAGAAATGCAATGCGTATGTTCTGTTAAACAACCACTTACGGCTACATTTTTAGTTGGGAAAATGGTCCTACGATATTTTGACCAGTTAACCCAGCCCATTTCATGCACCGTGCGCTATGTTGCACATGGGAACCGTTGCCTCGTTGTGGGTTTGTTGTTGACCAAAAATACTGCTTATCTGTATCATTCAGACAAAAAATGTCTTGTTACGGAACCTAATGGAATGTATTTCCATGATTTTCAAATACCAGCGGGAAATATCGAGATGCTTCTCCGAATCGCATGGGTTCAAGACTTGAACATGTAGTGCGCCGAACCTTTAGAATTCGCTTTCCTTTACTATCCGGTACACCTTGTATAGTTTGGTGGCGCAATGTTGCGCAATTCGCCAAATTCTTAGGTCACTTTCTGGATACCTAACCAACAACCTAGCAGGCTGAAACCTCACTCGCGGCTATGCGAGGCCGCCCGGTTTGCTTGGCGTAGCACGCAGTCACTGATTTATCACACGTCTTCACTCGTCGAAGCACATATCGGTGGTTAACGGGCTTCGTCGCGTAGTGAAGATAGTTGCAGTTCCGCGCAACTTCTGCCGAGTTAAATCAGTACTCACCATAGAGCCGCAGAAGGAACATGTCCTGATCTACAGGCACGTTGCGTGACTGCGGTTGGAGATAACTCGATGACGCCGGAGTATGCCTTTGCTCTACTGCAATAACTGCGAACCGATAACTAATCGCTCTGGATAGCTTAATAACCTGGTTGAGCACAGTGTACAAATCGATTGTGACAAGACCATTCAATGGGCTGCGGCTATGTTGGCATGCGTTCCTCAATCAGTGCAGAATAATGACAGTTTTGTCTGTCTGCCCATCCATCGTACCAAGACCAGTAGCGGAACTGAGGCCATGTTGTCTATGCATTCCTCAACTGTGTGGCTGGGTGAGCCAAGTTTCGGGAAATCAACATTTACCATTGGACAGTTGACAATTTACCTTGCACCCCTATCAAGCAAACGCATGCGGTGGTTAAATGTGCAACTCATGAAAATCAGACCACATTTATCAGACTTACGGTAGAATTGCCATGGCATCGAACCACAAAATCGAGTTTGAGAGACAGAGCATGCGAAGTTTCGCTTTGCAACAAAGAGAAGGATTGGATCATAAGTAGTGGGAATCACGACAGGGATGGTCATTGATAGGGATGATCGTGCTATAGCATATCGCGTTCGGGATTCTTCTGCACTCCCCAACGGCTGTCCCATTGTGTACCCATTTATACTGTATGGTGCACTTTTATGTGTTTATACATCTTATTCGCAGATCTTGTTTTGGAGGGCTGCAGATGTGTGCCCGGATGCTCTTGGTCAAATCTCTCGCTCCAGAGAACCGGCTATTTTGCAGGTGAATTTTGCGTTAATTATTCTCTACCCTCCTTTAAGTCTAAATGTGTCATTTTCTTCATAACTGTTCAAATAATCACCCCAACCACCCAGCTTGTCATCCGGCGGATAACTGGATGGCCGTTAAGTCAAATGGCCGGAGGTGCTTTGTATTTGCAGTTTTCTGATACTGAAGCTAGTATTGACGAGACATTTCTGGAAACCTGAAATCCACGGTAGCCTGCAAAACATCGACTTGATACATGTTGTTGTTGTTTGTTGGGAAAATATTCCATATTATGCAAAATATTAGCGTTGAATAAGTTGGCTTCTTCTTTGCTGACAATAGAAGTCGTATATGAAATTCGAAGAGCAGATGCATGTTCGTACATCTTTGCGATTGACTAAAAACACGGAAGCAAATAAGGCCTATTTATACAAAAACCTATACAACTACAAGCCCACCTAAATACTTTTGCAACTACAGCCAAGCGGCAGTTTTGTCTCCTAGACTACTCACCTGTAGCATACCTATTTGAACCATGTGATTTGTTAACAGTGAATTCAGCCAGGTACTTCAGCGTTTGCTAATCAGTGTGTGCTACAACGAGTGCTTTGCAGAGCCGTCTCTGGTTCAAACCATCTTGCCTTGACAACCGGTCTTACTGCGATTCTTTGCGGATGAAACCAAAATATGTCGACCACTTGTGATAAGCTGCATTTCCATTCACACTGTCATGTACAAACACTGATCAGGGTGTCCTAGAGAATAAGTCCAGGCACTATTCGAAAAGTCCCTTCCGTCCGACTAGACAGCGGTGGCCGAGTGTCATTCTCAAGAGACACTTGGTCTTAAAGTAGTTTCCACTAGGCTACCACTTTTGATTCATGTAAATAACAAATTTTCGCTTCTGATGTCTCAAGCTGTCTTTGCTCGGTGCCTGTTTCAGTTGGTATCATAGGGGAATTGTGTTCCTGAAACTGCATGAATGGAGCTTTTGTGGCAGAACTAACTGTCGCTCCCTGAAGTGAACGTATAGTCCCAAAGGTTGCGTCTTACTGTTCCGTGTCTCCCCTTTCTCTTTTCCCTCAACTACGTGCACAGATATTCGTCGTTCCGAATCATGAAGAAGAAATCAAAAGTTGCAGCTCTCTTCGTAGCCAGGTGAGTTTTGTGTGCTGGCATCTTTAATTTTCCGCTTTCTAGCAACTTACCAATTGCAATTTAATTTGTTTATGGACCTCGTGTTAAACATTTGTGCTGTGCTTTTCAAGCTTGTAAGTAGGCCTTACTTGCTGCCATGCAAGTTAGTCTACACCCACCTGATACTGGGGTGCTTTTAGCAAACAGTGTTGCTATTGTGAAAATCCAACCTTGGCTTGCGTTCGTTTTCATTTCTTGAATATCTCTTTACTCCCTTGTTCATAGTAGTCCTTTGTCTAGTATTGCTTATGCTACCGCGAATGCTACTAACGCGCAAGAAGGAGTCTCAGCTTATGCCTCCGGATACATTGGCTAAACTAGTTACTCGACAGTTAATAAATTAAATTTTTTTATCAAAGAGTAAACACTGCTCGCTACTTCTACCGGCTGATTCCTTTGACAGGATCCTCGGATCGGTGGCAGTATCTTTACCTCGGTGGCTTTACTGGCAGTAAGAATACAAAGAAATTTGCTTACTTGGTAGAACTAAAGTTGTAACAAGTTTTATGTATGTGCATCTGCAATGGAAATATTAGAGCCCTCTTAACTATGCATACATATTTGGGGATAGTGCTATTCCATTTGAGCGTTGTTGCTGCGAGTTGACAGAACTTCTCAAGGGACTGCTGTTAGTGGCATCCGGTTGGCTCGTCCTTGGCTATGTTAACTTGACTTTTACTCCTTGGCTTTCTCCGTGCATTGAGACTATTGCACTGAAATTGTACAATCATTCAGTTTAATTTCCGATTCTGGAGTTTTCGGCCAAAAATAATGGTGTTCGCTCAGGTTAGTTTCGGTGCTCTTACTATCGCTTTGTGCTCCACAGTTGGTCGCCATCTTGGACTCGGATTATACACAATACTGAAACCATAGCAGTGCGCTGCCTGTTCCAAGGTAGTCTAAGATTGAGCAAATGCACTCAGACGTGTCACGTTAAATTCTTCATTTCCTGCAATGAACTGTTCATGGAGCATTTCTTGTGTTTTCGCGGAATCCAATCTGATTTTGTACCATTTTTTGCCAGCATTACCGAAACGAGATGCAGCCAGAGAAAGGTGTGCAAAATCACAAACCATCGTGTAGGCTGCATTAGTTCGTTGTGAGCAGCTCAGTATGTTTGGCTTAACAACCTTGCCAGAAGCGTCTCCAGGTTTCAGCTAAGCTTCGTTGCTCATCCTGTGCAAACGCACCGTTACATAGTCCCGGCGTTGCGGGAAGTCATTTCACCCGATACGAACCTTTTACTTGTGTTGTATCCTACGGCCACAAATGTTCGGGTGTGGGAGATGTAAGGAAAGAAGGGCAAGTACATGCAAACTTTTTAGCTGTTTTAAGTTAATGGCAGACCGAACGACGTAAAGCTCTGGATAATAAGCGCCCTGCAAGATCAACTTTGGTTGGTCAAAGGCGTTTAAACCTCCTAGTCCTCCACGCGCTTGTGTGCAGTGATCAAAGTGCCCAGGTAGGCTAAGATCATGGCGCTGGGTTTCTACCGAATCTAACTGTTAGATTTTTCTACGGGAGTGGGGAAATAAAGGTGGTAGACAAAGGATGCCAATGCGAATCCCCTTCGTGGATGAAGTTACTCTGAGCCTCGTCATGTCTTGCCTAAATAGGCTGAAAGTATCAAAGTTCTGTTTCCGTTCAGACCTGTTTTCGGTGGATCGAGAAAAGCTCAAGCCTTGCATTATTGGGCTGAGGAGACGTATCACAAATGTTTGGGCGGTTTCTAAAGTTCCACGAAGCAGGATAAACAGGTTGCTTACTCTTTCAGCGCCCCCAAGAAGTTCCTGCTGCTGCTTGCTTGTAGCGTTTACCAACGTTTGGTCTTAGGAACAAGCGCAATGAACTCTGTGCTTTCGTTACATACGAGAGCCACAAGTTGTGAGACTCGCAAAGAAGTGGCTAAATTCTGAGTTGCTTGACAAGGAAATCGAATTCCGTTTTTGCTTTTGCTTCTGCTGCGATAGACTATCAACTTTTCGCGTGAAGTCTTGCTCTATATTCTATCCTCTCTGTTTGTGGACTTGTGAGTGTTTACTGAAACGACGATCCCCCGCGTGAGCAGCTATGGTGATAGATTTACCTCAGGCGCGTGAGCTGCTCATGAGTGAATTTGGTCGTAGTCCCTGAGTTTGATTGGATTGTCTGCCACGTCTCTGAATCCACAAGTGTCGTCCCCATATTTTACTCATGGGCGGTTTTAAGTATCCTCATGTTAGCTGGCCTGAAGTCTAACTAACGCCCGGATTTTAAAGGTCAAAACAAAAATCGTGGACTTGGTTCCTGCCAGTGATGCAGCTCAACACATATGTCAACCGACACGTAGAAGGCCGCGGTTAATTCCTTCTTACCATGACTTTACGTTAACAAGTTGTGAACAACCTGTGCATGATATTCAGATCATGTAGTCTTTAGCAGCAGGCGACCACTTTAGGCTCATAGCCAGCAGGGAACTACCTTTACAGTATTCCAGTCTACCGGAGCCGGCTAACAAATACTGGAAAACGGACTATCACGTCTTACACGAGCCGCGAACCAGGTGCAGTAGTCTCAGTTGCAAGCTGCATCTGTGCAAGACTGTTATGAAGGCGGGAGTGTCGTCACTGTGTTCTCACTTTGCAGCATTGAATTGTCCGAAATTCGGACCCGTCGAAGCACATTCGTTCGAAAATGAGCATGGAAAAGTGGCTCGGCGACAGCGCAGATTGTGGGACAAATTCATTCTCCTCTTCTCGCTTAACGATTGCAAAGCGTATAAGACACAGCGAATGATTTGCAATAGAACAAAAACTAGCAAGCGCCGGTATTTTGAGGAACAGCTCGCAACTGCCGCAAAAGCCGCCCTATATAGAATTATTGCGCAGGTGAAGCAGCGACTGAAGCCTTCAAGTAATCTACCTATGCTAGATGGCTTAAACAAATAGCCCCTAACCTCGAGTACTGAGTGTGCGTCCATCTTAGCGGCGCACTTCGCTTCTGTGTTTGCAAACGACCGTGTCTCACCGAGTATGACGAGTGCCGCGCTTGCCGAACTCGACAGTCTGGTTTGTGGTGCTGAGGTGAGTAAACTACGCGCCAACCTTCATGAGGCCAAACCTGCTGGTCCAGACAGGCTCCACTCACTGATTCACAAGTCCCTATAGGCCATCATCTCACCAGCCGTGAATAACTTGTCCAACAGGCCACTATCCGAAGATTCGTTGCTGAGCAACTGGAATTGCTCATTGGTAAGGCCAATTCCAAAAGAGGATGACCCAGCAAAGTAGACAAATACAGACCAGTTTGCTGACACCTATTTTGACTAATGTTGCCGAGAAGATTGCGAATAAAGGTCTACCATAGCTGCTCCAACCAGCAAATCTAGTGTAATTCGCACAGCACGGTTTTATGCTAGGTCGTTCATGCATTAGAAACTTGTTGATGACCAGAAATGCATTTTTGAAGATACTGAACCAGCGGAAGCTTACCGACTTTTGCTTCAGTAAAGCTTCCGACCATTTAAACCGTGCTATCCTCCTCCACAAGCCGGAGGTGTGCGTTCTTGGTGGGTTGCCGCCCCAGTAAATCCACGAGTTTCTCGTTTTACGGAAGTGCAGAAGACAGAGAGACGGCCACCCAGTTGAATGGTATCTCTCACTGTGGCAGCATATCTAGGCTACGGTACTGGAGCTATATCGTTCGTATATTATGTCAAGGATCTACCACAGCGTCTTCTTTCACCGTGTGCCCTGTTTGCCGGCTACCTAAGATGTGAGGAATGAGGAGCACCCCGAGGATTGCACCAAGACCTCCGCCGCCACTCCATGTTATTTGTGAAATCCCGCCTGCTGGTTAACCCAAGCAAGTTGGTATTCATTAGCGTGAGGAAAGATGCTACGGGTGAACCTAATCCATGACGGACAACCACTAAATTGCACACCATCCATGAAGGACTTAGGTGTATTCTCGAGCTAGGATTTAAAGTCTATTGACAACACAAACAAGCTACGCCAAAACGGACTGCGCATGCTTTGGGCGCTCAAACACAGCTTCTGCATCTGGTATGAAAAGCTGCCGCTGCCTCTTTTCTTCCATCATAAGAGTAGTGTTAGTGTATGGATTGCCCGCCTACCGTGTAAGCAGCTGACTCGAGTCACTGTAGATCGAACGGATTCAACACGCTGCTATCAGGCTCATTCCGATTCCACGAGGATCACTGTACGAAGACCGATGAGAAAAGCTGGGACTTTACACCATGTCCTATCGTCCGGTGTGAGTCGATCACATCATGACCTACCGCATACTATACCTCAACCACGTCCTCATGCGGTGACCACTGCGTTAGTTGCGAACGCCAT